AGGCATTGGGGCCTGGATGCCTCCCGCATCAGTGTGACAGAGGCCAAATCACAACTCCACTAACTGCAAAGCCTCTCCGAGAGATGACCTATAATTATAAGAAATACATCAAATAATGATTATTTTTATTGATGTCAAGCTGCCTTTTTATAATGAGCTGTTACGAGAGGGAGCAAGTCCTCTCTCAGCTAATGCCCAGCTCCACAACCTGCTTACAAACTATATACACAGAATACAATTAGTTCTTGCCATTTTGTCCAGACAGCCCCCACCACACCATGCTGTTTGGAAACAGTGCAGGCTGCAGGGTACTGCCAGTTTGGAGGATGATGTGAGGGTCATTATTGAACAATAATGGTATCGGAACAATACACCAAATACTTTAGAGAGTTAAAACATTCCCTGCCTCATGGCCCCATGTTCCATCTAATTATTTCCTTTGTGCAATGTTTAATTGTCTTTCATTATAAATTGTGTTCATAATATAGGTGACCTCATATTCCTACGTATTCTGAGACTGCCAGGTAGTATTCTGTGTCTTTAGTATGGTATATGTCTGGCTTGCTTTTTTTTTGTCCTCCTTTCTAACCTTAAGATTTGATTTTATAGCTGGGCTTGGTGGCACATACCTATAATACCAGCTCTTCTTGGGAGGAGGAGGCAGAAGGATTGGGAATTCAAGGCCATCCTCAGCCACATAGGATGTTGAGGCCACCCTGAGCTACAAAATTAAACACAAGATTTGATTTGATTTTTGCAGTTTTGTAGATTGACTCCAGGGTCTCCCATAAGGTAGCAAGTGTTCTGCTACTGAACTATATCATGAGACTATCTTTGATATACATGACTGCGATCCCAGCACTTGGGAGGTAAAGGCAAGGGGATCACAAGTTCAAAGTCATCCTTGGCTACACAGCAAGTTCAAGGTCAACATGATCTTGAGATCCTCAAAATAAAGAGAGAAAGAAAGGGAAGGAGAAAGGGATGGAGGGAAGAGAGGGACAGGGGGAAAAAGGCAGGCAGGCAGGTAGGCACAGTGGCACATGCCTATAGTTCCAGTACCTAGGAGGTTGAGGCAGGGGATCACTTCAAAGCACTTCTTCATTTAAGGCTCCTCTGTCACCATTTAACAGTTCCCTTTCTCCTCTTCTATTTAATAGCATACAGACTTAGATAAGAGCATATTTAGTATTAAACTCATCATTCTGCAAAATCCTTTGTTTCACTTACCACTACAGACAATACCAATGATGCCTTCAAAATGTTTTTAAGCAATTTAATATAGCTCTCATTGGAATGTCACAATTTCCAAAGTTCTAGTTCAATCTCCCTTTAGTGTAGTGCAATAAAAGGTTACTCTAATGTCATTTCTTTTTTATAAATAACATCAAAGTACTCCAACCCGAAAGCTGAAGAAAGGAGGGAGAGGAGATGCAGGCACAGGTTAGTCCATGATGACTGTGGAAGGACTGAATTTCTGGGCCAGTTCCCCATACTGTCTTGGATAGGGACATTTCTGAGAGAGATCATTGTTTTGGTATTCTATGCAGTGGAAGCCTATATGGACTGATGGGTGCTTTGGGAGGTGGGGAGACTATTGTTGAAGAGATCCTTAGGAAGGAAGAAATTGCAGACAAAGCCATAAACACAGTGGGCCTGTCCGGATGTGGACTTAGATAGAATGGTCCCTCCCTGACAAGAGTCTTCCAGCAACTGGACTCCTGCAACATGTGATACCTCAGTAGACTACATGGTCCCTCCCTGACAAGTCTTCCAGCAACTGGACTCCTGCAACATGTGATACCTCAGTAGACTACATAGATGGAGAAGAAAGGTGAAAATGGGTGGAAGACAAGCATGTTCTCTGATGCTCACTCCCCTTGTAGTTGGCAGAGAATTAAAAAGCCCTTCTTGAATATTTTTGCTGGGAGGGTGATGAATTTAACTCTTTAAACCTTTAAATCTGCTGTCTGTTTACAACTCTCTGTGTGTTGTCCACGAGCCCTATTCAAAAAGTCCAGAGAGAAGGGGAAAGAAAGGGAGGGGAGGGGAAGAGCAGAGAATGGGGGGAGGAAGAGGGAAGGGTGGAGAGAGGAAAATAGGAGAAAAAGAAAAGGGAGAGAAGGAAAGAAAAACCAAGCTTGATTGATTCTCCAGTACGGAAGACTGTCAACGACAGCATTTTCTGTTTGTACTATTTAAAAGATACTGTTGATGGTCTCTTCATTTCTCAGAAAAGGGAAATTTTACACCTGTTAGATTATAGTCTTGGAGCTGTTTATTAGAGAGAACGTACAGTGACAGATAACACCAACTCTCTATTATCCATGAAAAGAAATAAGTAAAAAATCACTCGTAGGTCTAAATTTGACTTGAACTGTGAGTTTCAATACCCTTTTTCCCCAGCCCTTCTGGAACTCCTGGAGCAAAACACATCGGTTTTTAGATTTCCTTGTAGTTTTCTTGAAAATTTTAAACTAGGAGAGTAATAAAAACAAATAATCCCAACACCAGTAAAGGAGGGATCCAGGAAAGAAAATGAGGACTGGGAAAATAAGAGAGGGGAAAAGGAGACCATCCAGGGCCAACCAAATCAAAGCATGTTCTGCACTTCCATGGCTACACTGAAACTCTCCAGGTCAGTAAAGATTCACTAAAGTGCTCCTAGGTTCCAGCAACTGTACTCAAACCTGCACAGTCTGATGTGGAGGGAATGGATGTATTGTTTAGAGGTATGTCCACTCCATATTTCAAGCAATTGTGAAAAAATCTACCATTACCCATTTAAAAACAACAGCAACAAAATCTCAACTTGCTGTGGTGGCACTCTCCTTTAATCCCAAGGGAGAGAGGTCTCTGTGAGTTCTAGGCCAGCCTGGTCTACATATCGAATTCCAGGCCGTCCAGCAATTGGGGATAATGACTTTAAAGAAACAAAACAGTCTGAGATCTTTTTATATAAGTTTCAAAGGGAAAAAAAGCACAATACAGCACGTGGCAACTATATCTCAAAGTTGCTACACCCCTTCCAGCTTTCTTATGTAGGTCACTAGGGCTTTCGCTCTGCTTTCTAGGCCTCTGAGACCAGGAAGATAACTAGATTCAGGACATCTGAGCCATCACAGTAGCATCCCCAAGCAGCATTATCAGGATGCACACCCTAATGCCTGGCACCCAAGTGCCTCCTCGGCTGCCTCAGGGTGAGTGAGTGTTGTCAGTTGGTGTTGCACTGACTTCAGCTGAGGGCCCACCCACCAGTCCCTTAGGCCACCAGTGCCCCAGTTCTCAGCCACCATCCCTCTCCTAACCTTAGTTGGTAGTCTTCCCCCTACCTTTTAAGATGCTAAGTGTCCTCAAAAAAAGATGCATGGTGGGCTGGAAAGTCGGGGGCAGAAGAAGGAGAAATGAACTACCCCAGGTTTGGAGGAGATGCCTGTCAGAGTGCTGAATGTAAGGCCTTTCGCTCAGTTATTTTTATTCTGGGCCCTTTCTTCCTAGTCCTCGTCCTCCTCCTCTATTTTTTTCCTTTCTGTTCAGCTATTTGTGTTTTCTGATCGGGTAAGTGATTTGCGGCAGGAAATTAGATATCTTTATTCCAGAAGCCCTGTGGTATTAATGGTATCTGTTCCAGAGCAGGCTCCTTATCACAGTCTCTCTCTCTCTCTCTCTCTCTCTCTCTCTCTCTCTCTCTCTCATCCTC